AACTAGTAATAATGATTACCCAGGGTAGGTGAATCGGAGGAATGGGAAATGAGGAGGTGAAGAACAGGGGAAAGATGGAGATTTTGCATTGTAGACCTTTTTGATCTTTAACCCTGTGAAATTATTGCCTACTCAAAGAAAGGTTTTTTCAGATTTTAAGTCATACCTCTTTATCTTGGTCCAAAATTAAAATATAATTATTTTCAAATTTGGGGAAAATAATGAAAATAAAGAAAGCAATACCCCCAAGTCCCATCTCTCCAGAGATAATTACTTTTTTTAACTTTTTATTAAAATTATGATAGTTTACAATCTTGTGAAATTTCAGTCATACATTATTGTTAGTCATGTTGTAGGTGCACCACTTCACCCTTTGTGCCCTCTCCCCACACCCGTTTCCCCTGGTAACCACCAATCAATTCTCTTTGTCTCTATGTTTAACTTCCACCCATGAGTGGAGTCATACAGAGTTTGTCTTTCTCTGTCTGGCTTATTTCACTTAACATAATACCTTCAAGGTCCATCCATGTTGTTGTGAATGGGACGATTTTGTCTTTTTTATGGCTGAGTAGTATTCCATTGTATATATATACCATATGTTCTTTATCCAATCATCAGTTGATGGGCATTTAGGTTGCTTCCACATCTAGGCTATTGCAAATAATGCTGCAATGAACATAGGGGTGCATGGGACTTTTGGAATTGCTGATTTCAAGTTCTTAGGATAGATACCCAGTAGTGGGATGGCTGGGTCATAAGGTATTTCTATTTTTAATTTTTTGAGAAATCACCATACTGTTTTCCATAGCAGCTGCACCAGTTTGCATTCCCACCAACAGTGTGTGAGGGTTCCTTTTTCTCCACAACCTCTCCAACATTTGTTACGTTTTGTTTTGGTTATCAGAGATAACTACTTTTAACATTTTGATGTACACACAGTGCAATCATATCACACATATTGAACTTGCGCACTCACATGCTAACTTATGTTCACATGCAGAACAAAACTGCCAGGCTTTACTCCTTAGAAATCATAAATCTATAACCTACATTAAGATTATAAAGGCTCAAATCAAATAGAAAGGAGTAAACCCTGTGGATAGGCAGGGACACTTGAAAACTCCCCGTTCATCTCTACAGATTGGATGTTTATTTCAAAGACAAGATGGTTTTAATGCCTAGATATGTGAGTACAGCCTTTCCTTTCTTCCTTCTTTCAGTCAAGCTCAAGGGTTTTTAAACTTTACTATGCAGAAGAATTTCTCTCAAAGTGGCAAGCCTGAATATTAGATCAAGTATAATCTTTACTACACTTCAGAATCTTTTTATACTTCTTTTAACCTAAATGGGATAATATTCACGCTTTTTAAGAATTTATTCTTTTTTACTCTGATATTATATTATGACCATCTTGTCATTTGTCAAATTTCTTCTACAACATGATTTGTAACGGCTGCAAAAGTTTACACTACATTCGTATATATGTAATATGAATTATTATATTATACATATAGTTGATGATTTAAATTATTTTACCATTTCCCTATTTAGGGACATTTTGTTTTTTCAAAGTTCCATCATGATAAACAACATTGCAACAAAACATCCCATTAACTAACCCTGTGTACATATCCATTATTATTTCCCTTGAATAAATTCCTAGAAGTGGAATTGCTAGGTCAAAATCTATCTAAAAACTCAAGAATTTTAATAACAATGTGCCATATGCCCTCTAAAAACCTAATTAATTCTTAGTGGGAAAGTAAACATAAGGTACTTAGGGAAAATGACTCAGAGGATGCTTTACTGATTTGACCTGCGAGTCTTCAGGTACCCCAGTGAAGTGCCAAATCTCAAACTGCAAAATTTTGCACATGTAACATGTCACAAAGTCAAAAGAAAGCCTGATGAACCTTGATATCAAAACCACAGCTCTTACATGAATGTTGCAGGGAAGCTGTAAAGGCTTCAGAGACAGGGCAAAAAGAACTCTCTTAGCAATAACATGTCACTGAGAGATGACAGACTCAAGTTCTCAAAGCCTTTCAACTTAAAGCCATTAAAAAGAAAATCACAGTATTTAACATTAGCAGTTATTCGAAATTATTAAAGCATTTTATCATCACTTCCCTTTCTTGAAGGAGAAAATACTGTAACAGTCTCTGCTGGTGCTGACTGCATTTCAATGGAGAAAAATAAAAATTTTAATACAACCTATAAGCCCCCATTCCCTGAAATTGCATATTCAACACTATTAACACTAACTCAAATTTGGAATCTGGGTATGTACTTGTGGGCGAAAGCAGGCCTAAGTAAATTGGGAAAAAGTAATCTTCCAAAATTGATGACTCAAAACACTATACGTGTTTCTTTATTTTTCTGTATTTTGCAAAACTTACTTAATGAAAGATAGTATATTACTATAAAATAAGAAAGCTCAAAACTTATTATGTAGGAAACAAAAGTGTCAGTGTTGCATTCAAACGATTACCCTGACATGAAAAACTATTTTTGGATGAGATACAGCATACTATAATTCTAGAAATCATAATGAACACAAGGTGACTTCTTTTAAAAAGAGCAATCTCCAACAAATTCTTTAAACCATTCTATTCTCTTAGATTGGTACTAAATAAGTTTTCTTTCTCACCACAAAACACCCCTAGAGACAAAAGGTAAAGAGTTACTATATTTTATAGCTCCCTCCCCTCCCCTCCTGAAAATACACTTACAGTCCAAATAAGAAGTCACTAAGAATCCTGACAACTAGGGACAGCAAAAGACTGCCCAAGTCCTTAAAGCACATGCAGAAAAAGATTTACAGAAAAGATTAAGCTTGCTTTTTGATTTTACAGAAGAATTCACAGCAGCATTCACAATTTTAAAGGGTGCATTTAAAGTACTTAGACTTTTCCTAATTACTGAACAAAATAGAGTAGCATTTCTATTTTCCAACCCCCTAATAAGAACAATAATTACAGTATTCTACAATCTCCAATATGCCCTCATTTTAAAAAATCCATAATGTTCTGATCTTTGGAAGAGGGCAGACTAAATTCCAGCACTTTTTCCTCCAGCCAGCAATCCTTTTTCCTAATCCTTACAGGACAAGAAATAGACACTCCTTTTCAACTCAGACTAACCCACGAGGGCTTGGGAAAGGGCAAAGCTGGCTGAAACAATGTCACCAGAACTTGGACCTAGAAACGACCGCCGAGAAGCATGACATAACACTAGACATTCCGTTCTGAGAAATGTCTATCATTCTCTCCACTCCTGGCTCCCATCAACTCGCACAAACGCCACAAAGATTGGGAGAGGGCAGGAGAGTACTGGTATCGAGTTGTCAGGGAAATTCACTTAATTACGCTGCTGAGTGTCCGTTCAGCCTGCTCCAGTGGGAGGATCCGAAGCAGACTCAGGCCACAAGCGTGAAAAGAACTGATGCTGTTACGAAGTGCCCCCCAGGCTGGAACGTGAGCAGCGTCCTAACAGGTATGCAGCTTGGCTTTCTGGAGATTCTTGGAACATATAAATCGCTGCAATAAACAGCCCGGGCAGGCGGGCATCTTACTGCCCGCCGTGGGTGGTGCGACAGCCTCTCCAGCGCTGGGGACTGCCCCGAGTCCGCAGGCGAGCCGGACTCCGGGGTGTGGCCGACTTTCCCTCTGCTGTCAAGTGGGATGGGGGAGGGGCCGCACGCGCTATTTACACCATTCCAAAATCTGGAACCTGGGCACGCAGTTCTGGGTGAAAGCAAGTCTAAGCAAACGGTCGGGAATCCCTCAAAACTGATGGCTCAAAAAAAATACTGATGACTCAAAGCACTATGTATGGCTTGTTTCTTTTATTTTTCTGGACTTTGAGAAATTCCTTTAATGAAAGAAATCTATTACTCTAAAATAAGAACGCTCAAAACTTATATAGGAAACAAAAGTGTCAGTGTTGCATTCAAATGACTACCCTTCACATCAAAAACTATTTTTGGATGAAACACAGCATATTATGCAATTCTACAGTGTAATTTTCTTTTTTAACGAGCAATCTTCAAAAAGAGCTCGAGTTCGTCCTAGCTATTTCATCGACAAAGAAGCGAACACGAAGCTATCTGGCGACCCCTGATCACCCCATTCCCAACCCAGTACCCCTGCACTGTAAACGATCGTTTACTTAATCGTGCTCTCCCAAGACCCGCCGCACAGTGCCGCGTCCACCCAGCCCGTCCAGTGTCGAAGAGCTGCTGCAACCGCGAAGCCGAGCGACAAGTGCCCGTGAGGGGTTCCACGGCTATCCGGTGCCCAGCTGGGCACCTCCGCACACACGACTTGATTAGCGCTAAAGACCAACCGACTGGCGAGTGCCAGTCACGGGGGGTAGGGGTTACGATCTGGACCAGACCCCATGGCGCGAGGATGCAGCGGCGCGGACCCTGCCGGCCCGCCCGCCCCTGCCTGTCCACCCACTGCCAGCTGCCCCTGACCGCCGGCGAGCGCGGGGAGCCCAGGAGGCGCTCACCGCTTCAGCGGGTCCGTAGCCCGCGGCGCCGCGGCAGTTGAGGAAACGGAGCTCGGCGCCGCGGCCCCGGCTGCCGCCCGGGTTGCAGCCGCAGCAGGAACGCGGTCGCGGGGCATCGCCGGCGGCGCGCGCGCAACACCCGCGCAGCTCCACGCGCTCCGCGCACGCAGCCCCTTCGGCCCCGGGGCTCAGGGCTTGGCGCGGCGGGGCCCGCCCACTGCCGAGGACGGCCAATGGGCGCGGAGCGCGGGAAGCCGGGGGCGGGGCGAGAGCGGGCCAGGCCGCCCAGCGACGCCTCAGTGGTCCAGGTTCGGAGTCAGCAGCCTCGGAAACGTGTGGTTCAGGCGAGTGAGGAGGTGGGGAGGGGAAGCACATTCTGCACGTCTAAGGCTTTCAGGACACGCTTCTATTTTTCCGGGATCTCTTCTTTTTCCTATTTAGATAAGTATTTCTTCGTCTGCTGTTTACAGAACACCTATTTAGGGCCGGCCACAGTGCTTGGGGACACACCGGGATGGGAAGCAGAGCCTACTTTGGAAGAGCTCCCAGTCAGTCGGGTGGAGGAGCAGGTAAGGAAACGGGTAACTAGGGAGCCCGCGTAAGGTGCCTCCCAATATCAAAAGTCCTGCGTGGCGATGGCGGGTGGGAGATGGGGGCAATTTCGGCCAGAAGAGAAGGAAAAGGCTTATTACTCTGCAATTCCAGCGGCCGGGATTCACAGTGGAGCACAGTCCGCACGTCATTTTCTTTTTCTTTTTTTTTCTTAAAGGCAACTGGGTAATGCGTGTAACATAGCTAAATTTTCAATAGCGTCAAAAATACATGGTATGCAATGAAAAAGTTTCCATCATCTCCTGCCCTCAGTTTTCTTTCCTTTTAGGCTACCACAGTTAACTGATTTCTCGCATATCCTTTCAGAGATATTCTGTGCATTAAAATATGTGTGTGTGTGTAAATATATATATACAGATGTATATACTCCTTCCCCAATCTCCCCCCCACACACACACATACGGTACTCTACACATTTTTGCCACATTGCTTTTCTTCACTTACCACTATATCTTGGACAACTTTCATTCTTTTTGTGTGTGTGTGAGGAAGATTAGCCCTGAGCTAACTTCTGTGCCAATCTTCTTCTATTTTGTATGTGGGACACCTCCACAACATGGCTTGATGAACGGTGTTTAGGTCCCCACCCAGGATCCAGACGTGCGAACCCTGGGCTACCAAAGGGGAGCACCATGAACTTAACCACTAAGCCACCAGGCTGGCCCCTACTTTCATTCTTTTTGATGATTGCATAGTATTCCATCACATTGTTGTTTCGAGTTTTTTCTATTCTTTTGCTTTTCGGTTTTTTTCTATTCTTTTACAAACAATGCTGCAGTTAGTATTCTTATTTACAGCCACTTGGCATGTGCTAAACACAGGCTAAATACCTAGGTATTGAATGCTGAATCGTAAGGTAGGGACTTTAAAAAATTCTGATAAATGTCAAATTCCTCTCCATACAGTTCATTCAGTTTATGCTGCTACAGCAATTTAAGAGGGTGCCTGTTTCACCACATCTGTCTATACAGTATGTTATAAAACTTAATTTTTTAAAATTTCCTGTGTTTGAACTGTCTGTTCATATCCTTTGCCCATTTTTGTATTCAATGGTCTTTTTCTCCTTAATTATTTATATACTTATAAATATATATTTATATATGTATCTATATATGTGAAATTAGGCCATTGTGAATGAATTGCTCATTTTTTACCTACCTTGTCTTTTAGCTTTGTTTACTGTTTTTTGCAATGAATTGTTTTTAATTTTCACATTAATTGATTTTTATTTAAGTTTCTAGGTTTTTTTTTAATCTTAGAAAGGTTGTCACTACTCCCAAAATTTAGAAAAATTCTCTCATGTTTGCTTCTAGTATGTTTGCTATCTATATGATTAATCCATAATGCAGATAATCTACAATAAAAATAATATATGTTATAATAGAGAAATAAATCAGGGTAAAGGATATGAATAAACAGTTCTCCAAAGAAGACATACAAGTAGCCAATAAGCACATGAAAAGATGTCCAGTGTCAGTAGCCATCTAGGAAATGAAAATCAAGACTACAATGAGATACCACGTCACACTCACTGGAATGGCTATAAGCAAAAAGTGTTGATGTCAGTCCGTTCAGGCTGCTATAACAAAAATACCATAACCTGTGTGGCTTAAACAACAAATATTTGTTTCTCACAGTTCTGGAGGCTGGCAAGTCCAAGATCAAGGTGCTGGGCAGTTTCAGCGTCTGGTGAGAACCTCCCTCCTGGTTCATAGATGGCTGTCTTTTTGCCACATGGCAGAAGGGGCGAAGGAGCTCTCTGGGGTCTCTTTTAAAGAGCACTAATCCCATTCATCAGGGCTCTGCCCTTATGACCTAATCACCTTCCAAAGATCCCACTTTCAAATATCATTACACTGGGGCCGGCCCCATGGCCTAGTGGTTAGGTTCGCATGCTGTGCTTCGGCAGCCCGGGGTTTCATTGGTCCAGATCCTGGGTGCAGACGTGGCACCACTCGTCAGGCCATGCTGAGGTAGCATCCCACGTGCCACAACTAGAAGGGCTCACAACTGAAAATACATAAATATGTACCAGGGGGCTTTGGGGAGAAGAAATAAAAACTTTTCAAAAAATCTTTTAAAAAAATGTCATTATGCTGGGGATTAGGTTTCAAATATGAATTTTAGGGAGACATAAACATTTAGTCTTCAGCAGTTGGCAAGTATTATGGACTGTATTGTGTCCCCCAAAATTCATATGGTGAAGCCTTAATCCCCAGTATTATATTTAGAGATAGGGCCTTCGGAGAGTAAGGTAAAATGAGGTCATAAGGATGGGGCCCTAATCCAATATGACTGGTGTCCTTATAAAAAGAGGAAGAGACACTACGGATATGCACACACCACAAAAAGCCGTGTGAGGACACAGTGAGAATGTGACCAACTGCAAGCCAAGGAAAGAAACCTCAGGAAAAACTAAACCTGCTGATATTTTGATCTGGGACTTACAACCTCAAGAACTTTGAGAAAATAAATTTCTGTTGTTTAAGCCACCTAGTCTGTGGTATTTTGTTTTGGCAGCCCTAGCAAACAGCAAGAATGTAGAGAAATTGGAACCCTCATCCACTGCTGGTGGGAATGTAAAATGGTACAGCCACTTTGGGAAACAGTCTGGTAGTTCCTTAAACAGTTAAACATAGAATTGCCATATGACCCAGCAATTGCAATCTTACATATATACCCCAAAACGTGTCCAGACGAAAATTCGTACATGTATGTTTTTAACAACGTTATTCGTAGCAGACAAAAAGTGGAGACAACCCACATGCCCATCAAGTGATGAATGGATAAAGGAATGTGATATATCCATATAAGGGAATATTACTTGGCAATAAAAAGAAGTGAAGGACTGATACATGTTACAACATGGGTGAACCTTGAAAACCTTATGCTAAATGAAAGAAGCCAGTCACTAAGAATCACTTATTGTATGATTCCATTGATATGAAATGTCCAGGATAGGCAAATCTATAGAAACAGAAAGATTAGTGGTTGCCTAAGGCTGGAGTTGGGATGGAGGGGTTGGGGAGTAATGGCTAGGGGTACAGGATTTCCTGTTGGGGCAATGAAATGTTCTAAAATGTATTGTGATGATGGTTGCACAGCTCTGTGAATATACTAAAATTCATTGAATTGTACACTTTCAATGGATGAATTGGATGGTATATGAGTTATATCTCAATAAAAATGTTAAAACAAAATCAATACCCAGACTTGCCTGAAAAAGAGATCAAAGTATATGACCAAATAATTCATACATGAAGAAACTCAGAGGAATATATCTTGGGGAAAAGATTAGCCTTGCTGCAAGCATAGTTGAAAATTACGAAGGAGAATATTGGCAGAGCTAAGAAAAATGGCTAAGCTCTTAAGTTGATAAAGTTATTTATTAGGACAACTGCTTTTGAAAGTACTGAGGCAAAACACAAAATATAGAATTATTCATATTTGACCCATAATCCACATTTGGGAATATATTCCCTCAAAATAATCCAAATGAGAAAAATCAATTTTAACTAAATGTTTATAGCAGCACTATTCATAGTGCAAAAGAAAATAAAATTGGAAATAAATACCTGATACTTGGGAGAGTTTATTAAAGTAGCAAACATGGGAAAGTACATGCAAAATAATGAGAAAAGTAGAATACAAATTAGTTTCTAAATGCTGATGATTGTGTGTATATAAATGTACATTGTTGAGTATAAAGAGGACAAAATTTAGCAGTAAATGGTACCAGGATTCCTCTTAGGAAAAGAAACCTGTTTGGGAAAATACCCTGATAAGCTTTTTGAGGTCTAAGGTGAGACTCTGAAAACGTGGGTCTGAGCAGAAGCCCTAGCAACACAAGAAAAGCTGCTCTGCATGAAAACATGGGAGGAATTTATCTTTGCTCCTGAGAGAGAGGGAGAGGGAGCGGTGAGAAGAGATGGGCCAAGCAAGAAAGAGTGGGAGAGAGGAGCCAAGAGGAGGAAAAAAAGTCTGGGTTGCTGTATAGAGTGATGGGCTGGTGGGAAATCTCTGTCTAGAGAGTGGGAAAATGGAATAATATGTAAATTTAAATTGTTTTCCCACATCTTAAAGTCTCACTAAAGCTTGGTGTGAATGGGGTTTTATAGAAACCGAGTGAGAAGCTGAAGTTGAGGCAGATGGAACATGAAAAGCCAGCACTCATGGAAGCAGGGGCTCAGGGACAGAGAGGACAGAAGAAAGTAAGCCCCTCAGAAATTATGGGTAAGCTTGAGGAGGGCTCTCAACACCGGAAGTGAACGTTTGGGATGATCTTATTTAGGTTACAAAGGGAAGGGCGACTCTAGTTGATAGTGCCTTACATGAGGATAAGAAGATAATATGAAGTATGTGTAGGTGTTTTAAGTTTATGAGAGGCTTAAATGTGGGACTTTTTTTTTTAAATTCTCATTTGTTCTAATAATTAATATGCATCTCCATCCACTGACTAAGACAGAATGAATGGATCCTGGCTAAGCCCCTCCACAGCAGAATCCAGTGGAAGTGATGTTCCGTTCACCCTGGATAGTGGCTGGGGGGAATGGAAATGAATATGTGAGATGGAAAAATGTATACGCACTCTCTCTTAGCAGTAGGGGTGGAAGGAGTTTAGTTAATCTGTCCAGATTTAGAAAAATCATCCTATATTTTCTATGTTGAAGTGTTGTTAGAGCAAAAATATTATCAAATGTTCAAGAAGGTTGGTCTTTGAGGAAAGTTCAAAAGAATTAATGTGTGAATGACTCTCAGTGAGCGTGTTGAAGTTCTTAATTGCCCGATTCCAGAATTCATGACTTCCACTGACTTAGCCAGAGGAGGGTTACTAACCAGCCCTACTTTATAGATGGCAGGTCTGTGGCACAAGGCCTAGAAGTGATTTTCCCAAGGTTATAGAGCCAGCCAGAGGGTGAGCTGAAAATAGAACTGTACCTCACACTCCCATGCAGGC